CTGGGCGTCGCCAGAAATCTAACTTTGAAGGCTGATTTCGAGGTGAAAAAAATTCGAAATCGAAAATTTTTTTTGGAATATTTATCTATATCATCTAGAGATGACAAAACCGTAAAAAAATTCTAGACCTGATATACACTTTAATTTTTTTTTCGTTTTCATGTGTGGACGGAAAACTTTTTCTTCGGTTTCGGTGTGAAAGTTGCGGATGTAATCAGATCTGCGCTGTGATCAAATCTGCGCTGTAAACTGATAGCCTATTAAATTCAAATTAATAATCGTTGGTAACGCACTCTCTAGTAAACACTCTCTTTTGACTGCTTACTAAAAAGTGCGTTACACACCACAGGCAACCCATAAGAAACAAAACATCAACGGTTATTGATTTGAATTTAATCGGCTATCAGTTTACAGGGCCGATCTGATCATAGGGCAGATCTGATTACAGCTTATGTAATAGGAAACCGATCACAACACAGGAAACCCACAGAGCAAAGTCACTTTTCTAAAAGAATCAAGAAAATATAGCCGGGTTTCCTGTACTGATACCTTGAATTTCCTGTAATCTTATTACCAGTAACTTGATAGCAGATCAACGTAACGTATCAGTGTAACGCACGCCCTAGTCAAATCTCAACACAGGAAACCCAAAGTACTTTATTGACTTATTTATCATTGGCGTCTTGTTTCAAATCTCAACACAGGAAACCCAAAGCACTTTATTGATTTATTTATTCATGTACAATTTCCTAAGCCGGGCTTCCTGTGGTTTAGACCGTCGTGAGACAGATTAGTTTTACCCTACTGGTTTTAGTGTTGCTGTAACAGTAATTTTGCTCAGTACGAGAGGAGCCGCAGAGTCAGACAATTGGAATTTGCACTTGGCTGAAAAGCTACCATATGTTGGATTATGACTGAACGCCTCTRAGTCAGAATCCGTGCTAGAACGCAACGATAATTACCTCCAAAAGGTTTAAGGCGAACAATACCTGCCATGGCACTAAAGGATATCAAAGTTTAAAATTTCTAGAGCTAAATCCTTTGCAGACGACTGTTGTAGAGTAGCCTTCTGTCGTAGTAGTTACGATGTTCTGAGATTAAGATTTGTTCATCCAACAGAACATAYTCCTCCTTGAGAACACTTGGCATTTCTGGGCCTACTTTCGTCCTCTCGGGCGTCGTGAACCAGGCCCGCCGGATCTCTTGTTCTCTTGGACGATAACTTCTTTACCTTTTTATCACTACGTCATCAGTTCCCAATATACACTCATGTCATTCAGGATTAGGGTTAAAAGAGGACAACACTATAACCGTGCTGAAAATGAAAGCAAATGATCGGAATTGGGATGTTGTACACCGATGGTTTCAAGTCGAGGTTGAACTTGATGAATAAAAGAACCATTCAAACCATTGATTCGTGGTCAGTCAAGCGAATTCGGGATAGGTCTATTTTATTGAATACTAACCATCTTCAACTTGAAAGTAAAGACAGCAAGCAACAAACCAACCGATGGGTTATGTCTTAATATTAAATTAGGAAGTGACTTTTCTTTTCGATTGTCTTTCGTCTTTCACCATGACTGTGTATTACCAAACATTAGCTTTGTCACTTCACTCTTTATCTTTCACTGTGTTCTTCCCTTTGGGGGGAGGGGGAGGGGGAGGGGGAGGGGATGGAGGAGTTTCCTGTCAATATCTGGTTACCAAGGATACATGTTTGCCAGGTTTTGTAAGGTTCGACTAAATGTGAATTCCAAGTTTATTATTCCAATTTACACATCTAAGGAGTGCTGCCATATTTGTTAAAGAATGTCTGAAAAAGTAACAAACACAAAATACTTACAACAGAATTATCAAAGGTACACAACTTATTATGGTAAATACAATGTACTTGTACACGTACATGAACTGTGTGTGAATAGATAATTAAAAAAACTTAAATTGGGTGTGACAGTGAAAGAATTAACTTCTACTAAACAATTATCAAGTAAAAAAGTCTAGCAAAAAATTGGGAGTTTAACAGGAATGGATTATGTGACTTTTAAGGCTATACTAGTGCAATGCTCTACCATTAGTGAGCTCTGCAGAAGCCTCATTGAGAGCCAGCGCAATTCTAGTCCAATGTTCTACTGAGAATCCCACTGGCTTTACCAACTGGGCTGTGAAGTATGGTTGAGAGTCAGTCTATAGCTAATATGTCCTGTGATAATGTGTGCCATGCATAAATGGAAGAAGAAGAAAAAACAAGCTACAAGTTACTCTTGTGGTATCCTTACCTCTTGCTCTGTGTTTTCTGTTACATACTGATACTTCTTTTCCCGGTAGAAGTTCTTTCTTCTTAGTACATACAGGACAACTATGTCACATAAGACTGTAGCCTATAAAGTAAATGTTGAACCTCAAATAAATTCCATGGAATTCTTTCAACAATAACATCATGTTACTAGATAATAATATTTCGAGATGATAAAATATAAGACTTTGAACTGTAAAGCCACCTGTGCTGTGCTAATAAAGGTCATTGCATGACTAACACAAAGATCAAGTTTAAAATTTAGCATGTGACGTTTTGCAGAGAAAGAAAAATTCAACCCCACCCCTCGCGAGAAAAATGAATAAATGCATCAAGGGAGAGATGTAACAAACTCTTGTTGATGAAGAATCTGGAATCTGGAATCATTCCTGATCGAGACTTCAGAGGTGAGTGTGCTACCATTAAATAGTAGTAGTACCACTGTTGTAGTATCACACATTTCAGATCTGTACTCACGATTCCTAAGAGAGCCAAGCCTGAACCCAAGTTAAGAAACAAAGGTATTACGCTAAATTTGCCTCCCTGGAAAAAAAAAAAAAAAATTTCAGTTTCTTTTTTTCCTTTCAACCCATCTAACCATTCAACTATTTGTCTATCATGCCATCCATTTTCATTCATCCCATTTCATTCATCCCATCCAATTTCATGCATTCATTCATTCATTCATTAACTAAAGATCTTAACTTTACTATCATTGGGACAACCATCTGCCTATCTATCTACCTCCCACCCACCCATCCATTCCATTCATTCATTCAATCCCATTCTTCCCATCCCATCCAATTCACTCATCTATCCACTCATTCATTCATTCATTCATTCCATCCCATACATTCATTCATCCATCTATTCATTCCATTTAAATTCGTTAATCCCATTCATTCATTAAAAGTTTTATTTTACCTGTCCTATCACTGTGACAACAAAACGAATGCCATAAGACTTGAATAATGTTCGATGGAGAGTATCATTCTTGACATAATAATTAGCATGTCTGCAAACCATAAAGTATATCATCAGCTGTAGTGAAAATACTGGGACATTGCCTTAAACATGATGATGATGATGGTAGTTGTTAACTCATTAGAGGGCTAAACCTCATGAGTCCAAGGAGTAAGACTGCCTGTAGCAGTCCAGAATCCATCGTTTCAATCAAGAATACTCCTTACCAAGTGTCCCTAGTCCCTTGTCCCCAATATAACCTGTTCTTCAAATCTTATAGATAGTGGTGATCATATTCACTTACCTAAAGTTATAACCACCTGCAATAGGTGCATGAGCATCGTCAAGTCTGTTGGTTGGAAGAGATAAAGAAGCTGTATTGAAACATTTTGTCTCTAAACCTTTCCGAGTTACAGTATCAGGATGATAAATATTAGTAATTGGGAGTATCAATTTTTTATTATTTTAAATCCCATTAGCCATGGAGAATCGGGAGCAAAATTAAGAGCAGCTTTACCTTAAACCTTTGGCAAGCATTGCTGAGCACCAAAAATGTTGGGGTATGTGTGTGTGTTCAGCAAGGGGTGGTAGCTAGGACGGGTGGTCTTAGATTTGAAACTCTTGTATGAATAAGACTAAAAGTGTGAAATAAGACTGAATCTTAGAGGCTAGTAGCAAAAAGTCATATGCAAAACCAAACCTCCCAGCTAAGGTATTGGTCATTTTCAGCCAGTTGGGGAATGACTCTGTCCCATGAGCTTTCGTCACATACCGTAATGTAATGTAATGTAATTATGCATACCTTCTGAATGAATAGACTGGTTCACATGAGTATGACAGAGAATCAAAATCACATTGCCAGTTAATAATGATTCCCATTACTCCACCCTGCCGAAGAAGAAAAGAAAATTGCTATTGTTACTCACCTTGATCAGTCAATTGGTTAATAATTGCCCATATAAAGAATCTATTACTATAAACGTTATAAATGATAGGTAGTAAAAGGAATAATGAATTCAAACTGGATAGAATTAGCATGGGATTGAGATGGGAATGGAAACAGATGGGATTGAGCTGGGAATGGCAATTTTTATGGGATTTAAATCAAGAACCTTGAGAAAAATTCTATAAACACATATGCAGACATACCTCAAAGGCAAGCTGAGTAAAGTTCTCCCCTGCATCTTCTACAATGGTTTGTAGTTTGAATATAGGGCAAAGCGGAGAGTTTTTCTTATCGTACATACAATTCTTCAGTGTCTTCGAGTCTGCATTTGAGTCAATATTTCTCCTAAGAATGACAACAGCACAAACAGACATCAGCTAAATTCATGCAAACGTCTTCTTTTAAACTTTTTCATGCTTTGGATCCCTGTGTCCTAAAGGTGGAAAAAGGGGTCTGGGGAGAGGATGCCTTGCTCTTATAGTCCTTTTCAGCCACATAAATAATATTTACCACAGGTAGCCCACTAAAGAAACAATTGAGTAACCCTAAAGCTTGAAAAAAAACTTGGGTAGGACTACTATTTCAAGTTATTTTTAAACATTTCTTACTTGGATATTTTAAAGTTTGGAAACTGCACACTATTCTTGATTAATACTGTAAAATTTCTTGCATCTAGTAGAGGTTTTCCTTTTCTGTGTTTAAAGTCAGAAAAAAAAATGTTCACAGATGATGATAGTGATGATCATTATTTCCCTGGACACCCCAAAATGCCTTGCAATCCAAGATGGTCACTGTATTGTGGAAGTAGTCCATTGGATAATACAGTATTCATTTTGATTATTACTTGTGTGGTTAAATTTGATAATGAGAGTTGCTGTTGGTTCTCTCCTGTGCTTCAACTGGGTTTTCAGGGTTCTCCTGCTTTCCTCCCTCCTTTCCTCCCTCCACAAAAATCAACTTCTAAATTCCAATTGGAATCCAGTGGAAGAAGAGCCACTCTGTGGAATCCACTGTTAATCCTATTATTTATCATTATAATTATTATTATCATTATAATTATTATTATCATTATAATTAT